TTTGGATATCAGTCTGGTGGTTCCTCAAAAAATTGGACATAGCATTACCTCAGGACCCAGTTATACCACTCCTAGGCATATACCCAGAAGATGTTCCAACATATAACAAGGACATATGCTCCACTATGTTCATAGTAGCCTTATTTATAATAGCCAGAAACTGGAAAGAACCCAGATGTCCTTCAACAGAGGAATGGATACAGAAAATGTGGTACATTTACACAATGGAATATTACTCAGCTATTAAAAACAATGAATTTGAGAAATTCCAGGTAAATGGATGGAACTAGGAAAATCATCCTGAGTAAGGTAACCCAATCACAAAAGAACACACATGGTATACACTCACTGATAAGTGGATATTAGCCCAAAATCTGGCAATACCCAAGGTACAACTCACAGACTACATGAAGCTCATGAAGAAGGAAGTCCAAAGTGTGGATGCTTCGGTACTTCTTAGAAGGAGCAACAAAATACTCATGGGAACAAATATTGAGACAAAGTGAGGGACAGAAACTGAAGGAGGGGCCGTCTGGAGACTGTTCCATCTGGGTAGCCATCTCATGTTCAGTCACCAAAGGCAGATGCTGTTGTGGAAGTCAGGAAGTGCATGCTGACAGGAACCTGATATAGCTGTCTCCTTAGAGGTCTGCCAGAATCTGACATATTCAGAGGCAGATGCTCACAGCCAACCATTGAACTAATCATGGGGTTCCCAATGTAGGAGTGAGAGAGAAGACTGAAGGAGCTGAAAGGGTTTGTGACCCCATGAGGAGAGCAACAATACCAACCCACTAGAGCTCCCAGGGTCTAAACCACCAGCCTGGGAGCACATAGGGAGGGACCCATGGCTCCAGCTGTATATGTAGGGGAGGATGGCCCTGTCGGGCATAGGTGGGAGAGGAGATCCTTGGTCCCATGAAGGCTGGACGCCCCAGTGTGGGGGAATTTGAGGGTAGGGAGGGGGGAGGGGGTGGTTTGGTAGTTGAGGGCACATCTTCATAGAAGCAGGAGGAGGGGAGATAGGATAGGGTGTTCCTGGGTGGGGGGAAATGGGGAAAGGGGATCACATCTGAAATATAAATAAAATATCCAAGAAAAAAGAACCTCATTTAGCAATTGTATCTTCTGTCTTTGATCATCTCTTAGATTAGGTAACACTGTTAGGATCTAAAAGACATAAATTTTCAGTCTGTGACTAGGATAACTTAAAATAGCCTTTGAGGTTACTGAATTAAATCTCTTAAATGGAGTCTCAGTATGTATTTCAGACTGGTGTTAAACTTATGATCCTCCTGTCTCAGCTCCCTGTGTGCTGGGATTATAGGTGTGCACAACTACACTAAGTTGAATTCATTATTTTGTCAAGTGAGACAATAAAAGGTTAAATATCTTATACTAAGCATGTAAATATATATAATGGAAAAGCTGAGAAGAAAATCTAGAATTCTTTCTTTACAATGCGGTGATATTTGGGTTTTCCTTCATCCTAATCTCATATGTCCCTGGTGTTGGAATTGTGGTTTTTGCAAAGGCATCTTGGAATTAGACTTTGAAAACTTGTTTTCTCCTGTTTCTGTACTTTGATTTCTAGTTTCTCTTTGACTCTTTCTTCTTTTTTTTTTCTATGTATCCCTATCAAGTATATCTTCTCAAAACAAAACCTTTATATATCATTTTCTCCCCCAAAGATCTGTAGACGTTCGTTTATTTTCTGAATCCTTACTCAGAACTTCATCCAACTAAAAAACAAGATGTTCCCTTTCCCATACAATAATCAACATTGCTTTGTTTATCAACCATCACTTCTTCCTCTCCCTGCTGTATACAATTTACACACTATTTTCTGATTCTTCTCTTCACTTAAAACCTATGTGTAAGAGCCAGACATAGTGGAACATATTTATAACCCTAGCACTCAAGAGACTGAGGCAAGAAGACTGTAAGTTTGAGATGAGCCTGGCTACATAGTGAGTTCAAGAAGAGTCTGAGATACATAAAGAGTATCTCAAACAAAATCAAACAAATCTGTGATCTGTGTCTTCTATTTCTTAATCACCAGTGTTATCGTGGGCAGTGTTAGACTCGGCGCGCAGCTTAGAACAGACAACACCAGACCAAACGGTTCCAGTGGGGGGTGGGGGCGGTTATTCAGTGCAGAGGGCAAAGGTGGGAAGAGAAACAGGAGAAGATGGTGGAGAGAAAAGAGAGCTAGGTCAGGGAGTTCTGCCTATTTATATGGGTGGTGACGTAGCCTTTTCCCAGGTAAAGGTGAGGTAGCCAGGTGGATTCTGGGAGTGTATGGTGGTTGCCTTAGCAACGAAGTAGGGTCGCCTAGATGTGATGTCACTGAGTTCTGGCCTAATACCAACAGGCAGTTTCTCCGTCCTTGATAATTTCATGGTTATTTATTATTCTATGCAATTTTTATTACCCATCTTAGCAGGTGTTCAGCCTTACAGATACTCCATACAAGTAGCCTACTATTCCATTGCTTCACACTCATTGCCAACTCAAAGATTTGGTTTTCTTGTTATTTTTAAAGATTTATTTATTTTATGTATATGAGTACACTGTAGATATCTTTAGACACACCAGAAGAGGTCATTGGATCCCATTACAGATGGTCATGAGCCACCATGTGGTTGCTGGGATTTGAACTCAGGACCTCTGGAAGAACAGCCAGTGCTCTTCACTGCTGAGTCATTTCTCTAGCCCTTGTTGTTATTTTTTTTTAAGAGTAGATTTCATGTAGCCCAGCCTGTCCTCAAAGTCATTACATAGCTGAGGTTATCTTGGACACCTGATCCTCTTGCATCTGCTTTGCACCCTGCACCACCACATCTGTCTCAGGTTTTCTAAAACAGATTTTTAAATCTTTTGTGATCTTATAATAGAGAAATGGATTCTTAGATAGCCTATCATAAAAATATCCAATAAAATGAAAATAAACAATTAGTTTTGAGGAAAAAAACTAATCCTTGTTCTATAAAAGACACCATTATGGAAGTAAAAAGATAACTGAAAGCTTGGTAGTAAATGTTGGAGATAAGAGATTTACATTAGGAATGTATAAAGAAATCTTACAACTCTATAAAGACGGCCACATTCTCTTCCAGTGGACAAAGCTAAGATAACCACATTTTTACTATGTACCAAACACTGTGCCAGGCCATGAATACACAAAGGTGAATGGCCTTTTGCTGTAACAACACTTCACTCCTGCGAGTAAAGGAGAAAGACAGTGATGTATTAGAAATACTCTACAGGGTTATGACCAAAATTTCAGAGAACAAAAGTTTATGCAAGAAGTTGTAAACAATCAAGGTAAATTTTCACTGAGATGGTAGCATTTGATTGAGGATTGAATCATTTATTCATTCATTAATTCATGCAGCAAACTTGTGCCTTTATTGTGTGCCAGGCATAGTGTTGGACTCCAAGAATACAAAAATGAAATGAGAAATTCTGTACCACAAAAATTTCAACAGGCTGGAAGAAATAAATATATAACAATTCAAAACTATGTGATATAACTTATATTAGAGAAATGTAAAATTTGCTATAGGAATGGAGAGAAAGAAATGACTAAGCCAGGCAGTGGTGGCACACACCTTTAATCCCAGCACTTGGGAGGCAGAGGCAGGCGGATTTCTGAGTTCGAGGCCAGCCTGGTCTACAGAGTGAGTTCCAGGACAGCCAGGGCTACACAGAGAAACTCTGTCTCAAAACTAAAAAAAAAAGAAAAAGGGAAAAAACAGAGTGAATTTGAAAGGTAGATGTTTATAAGGTTAATATTTCAGGCAAACAAGACTTGTCTCCTACCAAGCTCCGCTAGTGTTCTTTTTGATCACTGTACCAGGGCACCTAATGTCCATGGCACTTTAACAAACCCTTAATAATACCTTGGGAACTCATTTTCCCATGTGGTACTAGGGGTGGAATCCAGAGCCTCATAAACTAGACAAGCACTCTGTCACTGAGATAGAATCTCAGCTCCATGAAGTCATCTTTATATGCAGATGCCTTGTTTCCACAAAGCTGCCATGTGTCCTTTAAGATGAGAGCTTTGTTTTATCTCTTCCAGCACCCTCATTATCATAGTGTCTTATACATAGCATGTTTTATAGATCCAGCTGAAGGACAGCTGGGTATGATAGTCTGAGTCTATATCAGGAGGCTGAGATGGGACGATCACTGCAACCCAAAAGTTTCAGAGCAGACTAGACAACATAGGAAGGTCCCCATCTTCAGCAAAACAATAATGAATAATAGTCAATGACATTCTTGCCACTCAGGAAGCTTTTCTGAAGTCGTCTGTGACATCTTTGCCCTCCAGAGCCTGAGACATACTGGGTAAATGAAGGCTTCAGCATGAATACTCTGTTTCCCATCTCCTAGACAAGGGCAGGGACAGTTGCTCCTACACTACTCCTTTTCACTAGTGCAGAATACTACAAAGACATCAATGTAACTTTGTGATTAGTGGTATTAAAAACCACTGATAAGGCTGTGGGACCATCTCAGAAATGTGACCTTTGTTCATAGCTTAGTAGATTATCTCAACAGTAACGATTAATATTATTACTGTTGTAAGAATAGAAATTCGTTTTGATCAAGGAAATTAAGAGACTCAGTAAAACAATTTCTTGACTATCTCAGGATTGAGGAGATAATTGGCTGAGGATGGCAGCAATGAAAGATCCAAGCAGGATACAGGTTTTTCTCTTGCTTCAGGGAGACCAAGATCTGTTTGTTCTGAGTTTATTTTCTTTTAGAAGAAGAGGGCCTCAGTGCTTTTTTTCCACATCTGTGTCACTTCCTAAGACTTCACTGTGAAACATTCTACAACTGCCATACCTTCAAGGTACTCTCCTGTTCTCCAGGAGCAATCTTTCCTCAGTGCTAGCCCAGCACCTCTTATTTAACTGGAATGGGACAGAGTGTTACAATCGGTATGGCGATTACAACTGAAAACACTCAGTCTTCTTGGATTTCAGGAAATCTACCCAGAAGAGGAGATTGCATGGCTAATGATCAAGGCTTGGAATATTGGAGTATTGATGTATAGCAAGGACAAGTATGTATCTGCAGAAAAGTGGGCTGGAATGGCATTGGAGTTCCTTGGCCACCTTGACTCCCTCAAACCCAGCTATGAAGCAAAGGTAGGTGGGAGAACCCTGCAGTGGGTGGCATAACTTAGAGGCCACAGAAGGCATGACAGGCTCCCATAAGGACACATCCTACCTTGCTTGACTAGGTAAAGATCTTCATCGTTGAAGAGCTCAGTGCTTCCCTATCACTTCATGTGGTAGGAGATTGTGTACTAATTTCTTAGAGTGAAACCAAAAAGGGTGGGGAAGAGGAAGCAGGGATACTGAGTGGAATCTAATTACGAGGACTGCCAGGAGTGCACTCTGGAAAGATATCACTGTCAGTGCCAATGTGTGTGGGTAAGGGCTGGCCTCTGTACAAACAATGGCTGGTCAAACAGGCATTTCTCTAGGGACTATTCTCTTTCAAGCATCTAGACCATTAGCTAACCAGGGTAGGTTTGGTAAGGAAAAAGCCTTGTTACCAAATAAGAACAATGAATCTTTTCTGTTTTGATTACCTCCCTTAGTAGAGCTGCCTGTTCCTAAGTAAACAGACCTACTATCCTGGGATTCCTCTTCTTCAAGAAAGGACTATTTGTACTCCCAATAGCAACTCAGATCTCAGTCTGCAACAGCCAGACTTCTGTGCTATGGATCTGGGAAGCTTTCCCACACTGTTTTTTTTTTCCCCAAAGTTGATCTGCTGTTTTCTTTCTCAGGTGAATCTTCTGTATGCCAACCTCATGGAAGCATTAGATAAAAGGACTTAAGGTCTACGGAGATGACTTAACAAGTTAAGAGCACTTATTGTTCCTCCAGAGGATCAAGGTTCAGTTCCCAGCACCAACATGGCAGCTCACAACCATCTGTAACTCCAGTTCTAGGGAATCTGATACTCTCATCTGGTCACAACAAGTACCACAATGCATATGATAAAATTAAAGAATGATTTCAGTGAAGAATCATAATGATTGAAGGAAGTTGTAGAAAGCAGGCTGGCTCACAGCAACTTGAAGGTGTATATTCATGAGCTGCTAAATATTTCAGTGTTTGTCATATGTTCCCTTGAACTTTTGTTTTCTTAAGCCCTGTTTTTAGTTGACTGAAATTTTCTCAAATAAAAGCATTTTGACTGTCACCTCAGTGATCAGCTGATTTCTAGAAAAACCATGAATGTTCCTAATTGTTAAGAATTGTAATTGAAACAGCCCATGCTAGAGCAAGATGCCTCATGTGAATCCCTCCCCAATATATGTAATATTTTATTCCCAAAATGCCCAAACTCTCTAAGATGAGTGTCGAGAGCATGGACTCTTATCTGTTATGAGCAGGCTATTGATAAGGGGTTAGAATCCCCAGCGGAGAGAGGAGCGACAGGTCCTGCTCCACTCAGGATCCTATGCTGGATTTGACTGTGAGACCATCTCTCCTCGAGTGGGAAGAGATTGTACGCCAGAAAGACAGAGGTTGTGGGATTCAGATACTTCTTTAATGATGCATAGCAAGCAATATATTATCATCAATGCTAAGGCTATTGCTACAAGATATTGCCACATTTCCTATGCATTGCCTCTAACAATATACACAATGAACACAAATAACAAATTGCTAATTACCAAAGAAATAAGCATAGCAATAAATGCACCATTCCTTCATGGATTATACGACCTGAGTCCTTATGTTGGTTTTGGATTACAGGTCCGGAGTCTTGAGAAGGCGGGGTCAGGCTGTGACTTCCAGATAGTTGAATTGCTAATTTGACCTCTTAGGGTGCTTGACCACGAAGAAGCTGGAGGCATTGGTTAACTCTTTGATGACCTGGTGCTGAGGAGGCTTTGTCCAGAGCATCACATTGGCCAGTCATGGCTACAAGTGTGATGAAGTGCTCCAGACAGGCTCCTCTTTTATGTTGGATTTGGCTACTGCTGACATGCACAGCAGATAACCACTCGTGTATGTTATCCCTGGGCTCTGACCTCATCACAGCTGGTTATCACAGCACAACTTTTACTTCCAAACTTGTCTTTACAAGTACCAGACTAGTCTCTACAAGTTTACTATTACAAAATGGAGTTGGTCCTGTTTAAGGGCCTGCTCCTTACAATAAGAGATAAGACAAAACCATAAACATGGTTGGGAGGGCCTAGCGGCCACTGACTTTTAAATTCATCGGATTCATGAGATCTTTCTTTGAAATCCTTGAAAATTCATTACCCAGTCTATTAAAACACATCCTGTGCTACAAATTCAGAACCTGTCAGAGAGTTGGGGACTGAGAATGAATCATATCCTATGACTGTTCAAACACACCCTTCTTTTTGGCTTGTCTAATTGGTAAAAAGCTTTTCCTTATACTCAACAAAAAATCTGTTTCCCAGTAATAAGTCTGCTATTTCCGTTCCTGGTGCCCTTTAGAGAATCAAAGACAGAAATTGTCCCCACTCACCACCACCCCATCATCCAGCTTTTTCTTCTTTGGGTTCAATATCCTTCGGCCTCTCAGCCATTAGTCCTATGATCTGGTCACTTTCCTTTCCCTTCCAAGAACCAAATCTCTAGAGAGGCCTGGCCAGCAGGGTTCAGTATGCTCATTCCTTCTGCACTAACATTAAGTAGTGGCATGTTGCTCTCCCTCTCTTGGATGGCTTCTATTCTAGTTATTTCCAACCACTGGTTTTCAAATACTTGCATATGGAATAAAAGTCATGGGTAAGTATGCCCTTCCCAGCCTTGAGCAGTCTGAACAGACCTAGCTTGCACACAGGACCTTAACACCTAGGTGAATCCTGCTGCTTTGTTTACACTTGCAACTTCCTGCAGAACTTAGAAGAAGAGACTGCCTGCTGAGCCTGCTTTGCAACTGAAACAAAGGATGGGTTTGGTGGGCTTCCCCTATATAAACACAGTGCTGAATAATAAACTTAGAGCCTTGATCCACGTTTCTCTCACCCCTCCTCCCCTCCGTCTCCTTTTCATTTCCAGCCTTCCTTTCAGGTAAACCCAGTTCTTTCGTGGCTGCTGGATGGCTACAGGTAAGCACAAACACCCTTTGTCCAATGGATGCAGGTTAACTACATTCTCTTCTTGCTGCTTGCTTGCTTTCTCAGTCCCTTGAGATTGTTTCACAGACTCTCTAGGAACAAGTGCTCTTCTGCATCAAATTCATAGTGACTCCTCAACTTTTTGTGATCCATGAAACATGTATGTGTCAACCATTTAGCATTATAGTGAGAACTTCGATGGTGCGAGTAACACAGAGGAAAGATTGGAGGAACACTTTAGCAATTCTGGAATTCAAGAATGTCACATGCTGGGCAGGTGACATGAAGACACACCACCATGAACCTGAGAGGAGTTCCTATATTACCCTAATTATTTTGTTCAAGCAGTCAGTTTTATTTAGTCACTATGTTTTGGTCACTCTGCTCCTAGTCCTAAAATCAGAGAGTTGGTTATACATATTCTCAAAGATGATATTTAAAATGATGTTTAATATTTTGTTGTACATATTATCAATAATAATATTTAGAGTGAATTTTGTAAGATGTGATATATTTGAAAGTAGACAGATTTCACAGTTTCTTATGCAGGTTTCAGGACTTGATATCTTCTTATTCATGCTATCTTTGCCAGTATAATTTTCTCAGATTCTTAATAGGCTTCTGAAGTCTTCGCTTCAAACTTTTTGCATGCTGATATTTTTAAAAAGAAAAACACTTTTTAAAAATTCCTAACTGTAAACAGAATGAACCGCGTACAAAGATCTAGGGGCACCATTTAGTCCCTTTTCCATTGTGACAGATATGTAAGAAAATCAACTTAGAGGGAGAAAGCTTAATTTTGGCTCACACTTTCAGAGGTTTCAGTCCGTGGCTGCTGGGCTCTGTTGTCTCCAGGCATGTGGCTGGAATATCACTGTAAAGAGTGCATGGTGGGGCATGAGAAGGAGGAGCTGGAAACAAAACATACCCTGCTGGCTACAAGAGTGCGTGTTAAAAAAAAAATCCAATCCATGCGTAACAAGAGTAGAAACATCAGAGTCAGAAAACTAGCAGTGATTCAATTCTGCCATTTGTTCCGCAGCTCCATTCACAGCAGTTGGCCTAATAGTCCTTCAGAAAGTCAAGAGCAGAAGCTACACTTAGTTGTCATGTTCTTTTCATCTCCTGCAAATGACCTTAACATTTCAGAGCACAGACTAATGGCTTTGTAGCAAGAACAGCAGTTTAGGTCAGATGTTTCCTGCTGATTAGATTCTGTTTACCCACATTGGACAAGCAGAGCCACAGAAGCAGTGTTCATGGTCACATTGCTTCCCATTGCCCACTAGCAAGCACTCAGTGTCAATTTGCCCTGTTATGGACTTAAAGTTAAGATGGTCTCTTCCAGGTTTCTCCAGTGTAAGGGTAATTGATAAACATTTTGTACTTTGCAATTACTAAGTAATTATGGAGTCCTTGGTGGAAGATAGAGGCTAAGTAAATATCCTGTTCCTCATTAATGTTCATAAGCCAGTTTTAGCATCAATTGATAAGTCTTAACCTGGGTCCATTTTACTGTGGAGGCTTGTCAATTGTTGGGTTTTCTGTCTCCATTGTTCCCTTTACTAGTTGGCTTTAACAAGATAAGGCATTTTCTGCTCCTTCACTTTTTATTCTTTCCAGGGCCCTGTCCATGTAAATGCTCTGCCTCAGAGCTTATCTCCACTTATTTACCCAGTAGTCCAGCCCCCCTTTTAACCTGCATTTTAATATACATTAGTAGCGTCTACTTGTTCAGTGGATACTAACTCACCATTATCATGATCAGTTCTGTGCTCTTTTGGCATGTCCCCATTTTTCTGGAAGCACAGTGAGATGCTCCAGGTTCATCTCGTACACTTCCTGCCCCAGTCTTGAAATAAGTGATTTCTGCAAAGAGATCTGGTTCTTTTGGATAGAGAATGGTGATAGGTCCCAAGATCTAGTTTCTAGTTAACATCCGTTGTTAACTGGGGTGACAGTCTTCAGAGTGAGCAGAGCTAGGAAATAAACATCTGGGAATGTGTATACACATACATGATTCCCAACATGCACGCACACATGTATAAAACCATGGGATTGTACTGATGCCTCCATTTTCAATCTGGTACTCAGATTTATTGTAGTCTTCCCTCCTTTACCTATTGCTAACTCTTGCAACACTGCCATTTCCCTCACCAGCTGCCCTTCTAACTATCCCGGGTCCTCCTGACTTCACTTTTATCATATAATCAAAGCTCTTTGAAAAATATTTTCGCCAGTTATCACAGAGAGCTCTGTCCTTAGCTAAGAGCCCAGTAATCTAGTATTTTACACCATTTCATTCTAAAATTCTGTCTCTAAATACAGCCATCTCCAGCTAAGAATGTAACTCAATGGTGTAGCACTTGACTAGTACATGGCCCTAGGTTAAATCCCTAGTACTTCAAAAAGGCAGCAATTTCATCTTTCATGTATTTTCCTCTATTCCAAAGTACCAGTTTCCTTCCATAAGAAAATAAAATAAGCCAGATATAGTGGCATGTACTTATGATCTCAACAATTAGGAAACCAAGGAAGATATATCTTTAGTTATGGCCAGCCTGGGCTACATAGTTAGCCCTTGTCTCTAAAACAACAACAGCGAAAACCAACTGGTTTTTGCAAGTCTTCAACCTTGCCCCCCATCACACACACAACTTCATAGTCCTTGGAGAGTCTCACCTTTTGTGAGGCCACTCATCTCTACAGGGGGGCCACTTGTTAGAATA